CTTTGCTTTCCTTGCTGCATCCTCAGCTCTCCCTCTGCTAAAAGCAAAGCTGTGTTAAAATACAGGGGAGTAACTGGAGGAACTGCCCCATTTGGAAAGTGGCTTTTAGCTAGCTGGGGGACTGTTTGTGGTCAGTGTGTTATTTCTAACTAAAATGGCACTTCATAAAAATAACAAATTGTTGGCAACCATTGCTCTTTGAATTCTATTTCTAGTTCTAGTCTCTATTTCTGTTCCTCTTGGTTGCTTTTCTCCTAACAAATCAAACTTCAGGATTGCAGCAGGAAATTTAGATTTAACCTCAAGAGTCAATGTTTTGTCTCATGTCTGCTCTAATGCGATACAGATGTTGGAACTGCTGTACGTAACTCAAGATTTTATTGAACTAGCCCTCCCTGCCTAATAGAAAACATAGCTAACTGGAGTGCACATTAAACACAGATCACTCTGAAGGCACTAAACCTGAGAATTTTAGAAATACATTGACAAAATACTTGGGATATTACTTCAATTGCACATCCTTCAGCTGTTTGATAGGAGTTTTTACCACAGTAAAGAAGCGGAGATCTTTATCTTGCTTGTTATAAAAAGCAAAACCAAGAAGTAAGCATGAAAAAAATGCAATACCTGAAATTATTTACAGGCTGAATATTCTTTTTTTCCTGTTCTTTGTTCCCTTCTCTTTAAAAGATAACCAGCAAGACTGGAGAGATAGATTATCTATTGCATCCGTTTTTACTTCTCTTCTCCAACAATCCCGATCTCCGCTATTCTTGGGGTTTTTTTAGTTTTCCTTCTCTTAAGTTACCACTGAGTGGCCAGAGCGTGCTAAATGTTTGGGTATGTCTTTGATGAGGACTGAACAGTAAACACTGACATTTCTCAAGACTCTGCTATGCCACATTAACCCCAGTACAAAGCCATCTGAAATCAGCTCTTTCCTCTATTTATTAATTCTTTACCCCCCCTTATTTCTAATAATGAGATTAAAGTTTTCTACTTTTCTGTACAAACAGTACACTGTGTTTCTTAAATGAGTTTGTTTTTTTTTTTTTTTTTGGGCAATACCGGAAGGTTTAGCACATCAGAGTGCTTTTCTTGCCCATAACCAAACAGGAATTATGTACTAATTTAGTGTAGTAAACCTAATCCTCATGCCTTATAATATATGACATGAAATGTGCTACCCAGAGCAATCTCCAAGCAGTAAATAGACCAGGGAAAAGCCCTCAATACACAGAAAGGGGTGGTGGTGGGAAAACAAACCCAAGAGCTCTACAGGGAAATACAGAGATTAAAGAAATCTTATATATATTTTCACCTAGTTAGGATGACTGATATAGTGGGTTTTTTTGTTTGAATCTCGAACTTCTACTTCTTGATGGAGTCTTCTTCGACCCTTGGGTGGACCAATGTGTTTTAGATGTGGGTGTTGTTAGAGGGGGTACAACAGGGTCTTCAGGCAGCTCTGGGGCTGCTGGCAGCTGTGTTGATACTACCAGGAGCAGTGCAGACAGACTCAGCACTAGCAAAGATGAACTTGTGCTTAAAGCAGAGCTCTAGAAAGATCACACCTGTATTTAAAAAAAAAAAGAGTAAAAACCCCTCACTCATTCAAATGATGGACATATCATGAAAATTAATTCATTTTAGCTATTGTATCAGCAAAACAGATCATTAGTTGACCCTTAATATAATGAACGATAAAAATGTGTTTCCCCAGTAATGTGAACAGCGCTGTTTGAGGTTAATTGTCTTTCTGTATTCCATTGGAAGGCTTTTGGTGTCAGACTTGGGTTTTTTATTACATAGAGAGCAGCTCATGCAAAATACGGCTGTCCTGGGTCCAGTAGAGGAACCTGTATGAAAAATAATTGGTCCTACCTATTAGCCACATCAGAATTTTTAAAATCCTTTCTGTTCTTGTCACTTGTTATACAAGAAAGTCGGTATCAGCAACTATTTCTAGCAGCTAACTTCTGCAAAAATGAAGAAGGTTTTATTATTGCCTAAAGCTTCCAAATTCAGTTTGTATCCTATAAGGAGTACAGGAATACCGAGTCATTTTTAAAATAGCAGATTAGCTCTGTTATCATATGAGAAAACTCTGAGGTCATCAGTGGAGCATTACATATTAATCTTTTTCTCTTCCAGGCTTCAGTTTATTTCTTTCATTTCCACAAACACTATACAATATTCACAGGTAAGTTAACTAACATTAAGTAAGTTCTATTCCCTCTCATTTAATTATGTATATTTAGGGGTTTCCTCAATTAGAAATAAATTTTGTGCTTGAAGTAGCCTAGCTTTACCCAGATGCTGATAACATAGTAAAAGGTTTTTCTGGTCAGTTTTCAGAATCTGACTGGTTTCTTTTCCATGTTTACAGCTCTCCCCTTTTCCTTTCACTTGCCATTCTCCAGGCAGTCTCACAGTGATCCTGCACAGTAAACTGATAAAAGCTCTGTGGTTACAGCAATTGTGTTTTTGTTTGCAATCAAATGTGATTTGTAACTTCTGCCTGCACTAAGTAAAATTCTGTAGCTGATCATCCTACACGCAGTGAAGTACTTCACTGTCTTCCAGGTCCTTCTGCAAAACTCTCCCCTGTATGAAGTCTGCAGATAATTGCTATCAGATATAAGCTAGGCAGGTGGCAAGCTGTGATTACATCTAAGAGCTGGCGTGCTCCACCTAGGAATTTCATCCACAGTTTATGCTCTGATGGCCTATTTTTATTAATGCAGCCTGCCTTCTACTACTATTTGATGGCTCATTTCACTCATTTGTCAGTTGAGGTCCCTCAGGTCCTAAGTGTCCTGGAGGAGGGATTGTCACTGCCCATCTTCAGGAATTAGTGGAAATTAATACTAACATTTAAGTTTTGAAGAGACTATAACACAATATCTCATTGCTCCTCCACAGCCCTTTTCGAGTTGCAGTACTCAGTGTAGTTAATACAAGCGTGAACAGCCCGGAGTTTGAGGCAGGAAGAATGGGGAGTCAGGAGATGTAGGGCAGGAAAAGCTGACTTGCAGTAAGGCTGGGCTATGGGGCAGGGGGCTGGGAACCAGTGGGGCAAGGGACTCTGGTTTGAGAACAACTGAGTGAAGGAGGGAAGCACCTTGTGCATGTCAGCCCCTGGCAGTAGCAGCATTTGCCCCAAGGAACATTTCAGTTTTGTTTTCCTTCCTTTCATGTCATGACTTTTGTTTAGTGTTTTCTTTTTCAAGTCTTCATTTAACACGGTTCCTCTCAAGCCTTCCAGTGGGTTTATCATTCCTCTGAACAGAATGGCACAGTCATTTTACAAATCCAGTCAGGTTTGCTTGAAGAATGCACATACAAGCTCTTTGATGATGAGGGATTTGAGTTTTCCAATCATCTCCTCTCTTTCTTCATCCTGATGCCTGTTCTCAGTTTTATTTTAGGAGAAGAGTATTCCTTTTTGGCATGAGAAAGATATTTCTTGGATTTTTGTCCAGCTGTTTCTATAAATACATATGTTCAGAGATTTTAAGCAGGACATTTCCCAGTACACTTCAAACACAGAATTGCTCTTCTGAGTGGTATGAAGGAATAATTTAATGGTAGTAAACTTAATGGTAGTAAATTTTACTTTAGTAAATTAAACATCCTACTCCTTTTATAACCTCAGAATGAGGTTTGCCTGAGTGAGAAAGATGCAAGACACAGGTAAAAGCTGTTGACCTTACAGTTACCGTTTTCCTAAATTACATAAAATGCAGTCATTTACTACCTTTAAAAACCAGCTTAAAATATCCAAGAAAACACAATGTGTCATTAATTTTCCTGTACTCTAATTAGCCAAAAAAGCCTCCCCTTTAGGCTGTACTTTGACAGTGGTACAGTATTGTCTCGCAGCATCACCTCTAGACCTAAACAACAGCAATACCTGCCAGCCATGTGCTTGACTCTGCTGCCACTGAAAACGTGGGACGAATTGACTGAAACAATTTCATGTCTCATAAGTTTCATCCTCTTTTGTGGATTCACAGCATGCCTGTACACTTGAGAGTACTGCAGCTCACTTCATGAGAGCTCAGTGGTCCATTGCCAGGCACTGGTGAGCAGGTGAAGCTGACCAGGAGCTATGTGAATAAACCAGTATAATTTAACCCCAGAAATAAATGTTACTTGGGCATACTACAGTTTCTTGAAAAATGTCTGCACATTTGCACAGGTAGCTGTGCTGCAAGATGAACTCCTGGGTTGAGTTAGGCTAGAGTTTGAAGTCACTGTGTGGAAATAGAATGGATAAATTTTCCTAATCCAATTTCTTAAATCCATAAAATTATTGTATTTACTTACAGAGCACATTTAAATAAAACACTGAAGAATGATTCCCTGTATGAAGGACTCCTACCTCTTGTGTCACCTCTGTTGCTGTTCGTTCTCCTTACAGTCTGGGTGGTTTTATCTCCAAGCAACATATTAGCAAAGCAACCAAGACTGTTTTTATGGATGGTTGGGGTTGCTTTCTCCAACGTTATTGTAAGTATACTTGAGGTGAGATATTATTTAGCGATAGCTTATTTAGAGAAAGCTTTTTATTTTTATGTGAATGAACAGAAGGGGATAGAAAATATAGCAAAAATCAGCAGAGTCCCTTGGTTCTTCTGCCTCTGTGCTACACTCTGCCTTATAAAAATACACCACAACACTTGTCTGGACTAGGGACACTTACAGTACTGAAATACCTACTCTGCCACAGCATAACACTTTTATGAGGGTTCTGGGATTTTTTTTTTGTTTTGCTTTGTTTTTTTGCAGTTTTTTTTTTTTTTTGAGGGTTTATGAAAGCCCTAGGGAGGCTTTACTTCAGAAATATAGTCAAAACAGGTACAGATTTACTAGCTAGAGGGGCTGTGGCTTTCCCTTGCTCTTGTGCCTATTAGTGTGGTACATGTATTCCTGTATCCTGCAGTTCAGCTGATCCTACATTTTCCCTTCACCACTTAGAATAAGGCCATACCATTGACAGGGAAAGATGTGAAGGGATGTAGTGGCCTTGTTGATGGCTCTCTGCCCACAGATTAGTTTCTCCCATACCACATCACTGTGACCATTTTCCCCCCTATAATGCCTATGAGGCAACATAAACCTCCATGAAGTACCAGCCCGGGCAGCCAGACAGTGGTGCTGAGCACTGCAGGTAACCCAGGGCTTTCTTTTCTGGAGGAAGCCCTTTGCCACTCTTCTTGCCAGGAGAGCAGCCAGGCGGAAAGGTGTTCTTCCACTTAAGCTAAAAATACCCTAGAGGATAGTGCCTAGTGTCATCTTAGGAAAATAGTCTCCAACACCATCTAAAACTGTGTCACTGAGCAATGCTACATCTGATTTAAAAAGTGAAAGGCTTGAAGTGCCTTGCATTATGAGAGAGATCTTAAAAAATGTGGGATTTTTAAAAGAGAAAGCATAACGCCTCTATAAACTTGTATTCAGGAATGGAAAAGAAATCATAATTGTAATGTTTGTTAGGTGTGTCCTATAAATGTATGTTTCTGAGGGTCACAGATCAAACAGTTCCATCATAAGGACTTAATCTCATGAAAAGGAGGTTATTTTCAGATATGTTAAGTTTTATTGTATGCAGTCTTCATTATCCCATCTACCCCTTTTTCTTAAAAGAATAGCATTGATTCCAAAATGAGAAATAAAATTATTTCATGCCAGTAGGGAAAATGCTTTCAGAGTCTGGCAGATGGCAGTTTCTGCACATACATCTTAACCAACCAAGAGTGATTGTGGCAGGATGCTTGCAGAAGAAAAACTGTAAGGCAAACCAAAAGTTTCTTTATAGACTGCAGTTTGTCAGACATTAAGTGCAATATATATTCTTCAGGCCTTGTTTTTTCTTTTCCCAAAACATCTACTGCAGTGTTGGAGGCTCACGTGAATTAAAAATGTATGCACGTTAGCTGAAATTTTTAACATTTTAAAAGTAAGCATTAAAAATGTATGGGTGTTAGTTGGAATTTATAACATTTTAAAGTTGAAAAACAAGCCTGTATTTCCTTTCACCTCCACTGGTCCCTTATACACACTTTCTTCCAGCATCAGAGTAAGGCTTGTCATGGCAATACTTTTCTTCTCCTTGATAGCCTGACACACTGGGTTTCCATTATCTGCTCTGTAGACCACAAACTGCAGCCCACGTTTCTCTACCTGCCAGTATCTTGAACTTCTCATGCCTTTGACAACATCTTTGGTCATCCAGCAGATTCCCTAAGCTAAATGCCTGGTCTCAGACTTGGTCTCGCAGCCACGCAGTGTCAGGGCAAGTAGGGAGCAGGCAGAAAGCAGGGCTATATCCAGCATTTTCGGCTCAACTAAGGAAGTAAGTCCTCCTAGGCCTAAAAAAGGAAAGCTGCTTACCTGTGAGAGAAGCACTTCTTTTCCCAGTCCCCGCAGCTGGCAGTGGGACTGCCTGTGGATTGACTACCCCTCTTGCTGGGAAGCTGACCTGGTTTTGATATTTGTTCATACGGCAAGTGTCACAAGTCTCCAGGTCTGAGCAAACCACCACAGAGCACAGCTGCCACAGCTCCCACGTAGGGAGCCCTCAGAGGCACGTGTTTGAGTCCAGGAGGAGGGATGGAGTGGGTAGGTCCCACGGAGGGGAGCTGAGCCATCCCCATAGCAGGAGCGCAGTGGCTGACGTGGTGGCTTGCCATGACGAGCTGGAGCAGCTCAGACTCGCGAGAGGCTTCTTGAGGAACCTTCCAGGGAAAATGATAAGGGAGATGATATTAAGGCCCTACTCAGGAGCACAAACCACAGCTGCTAGAGGATTAACTTCAGCAGGGCCAGGGAAGTGTTGAAAGGCATAGGCGAGGGGGATGGAAAAGCACAGGGCGCTGTCCCTTACCTCTTCTTTCCCATTTCCCTATCCAGACACCAGTGCCTTCATCTCCTAATGCTGTTTTTGCCTCACTTGTAGTGTCAGTCAGTGCTTCAGGACCAAGGGAAAAAAGGAATTGAGGGAGGATCGGAGAGCGTAGTCCATTTTGCAGTCCTGTGATGCACTGAAGGTGAATTGCTCCAAATATTAATAAGCAATCTTTATGAAAAATCCAGTACTGTACTTAACATGATATAATAATGGTTTAAAACAGTGTGAAATTCAACCTCTGGACAGGTGCAATTATTTAGCAGAAAAATTATAGCATATAGATTGCTTTAGCAATTTCTTATACCCTCTGGAATGAGTCCCAAAGGACCCATAAAACCAGTGGTATTAAAAAAATTCACAATCAATACTGAGAATGCATTGTAAGTGAAAATATTAACCTTAGGTACAAATGCTTACTTCTTCCATTATTGAAAGTTAATTGTTTTTTCATGGTTTATTTTTGCATTCTTCAGCTTCCATAGAACAGGCAGTAAAGCCAGTATTTTTTCCCTATGGTCAGACTCCTACTGCTGCTGTCATAAGATTTCAGACACTGCACAGGGAATGAGTTTTTCATTCTTCTACTGTTTTCAGGATACATAAAATCTATTTTTAACCACATTTCAATTTTGAGTGAAACTTAAATCAGTAAAATATTTCCGATGTGCCTAAATTCCTTTTTATTTTTGTAAAGGGCATGGTGTATATGAGACACATTTCTTAAGGAGCCTAAATTAGGCAAAACATTTTGGTGTGCTTAACAGGTTTTAAAATGCTGAACTTCAAATGAGTTCATCTCATTAGGTTTCAAGAACTCAGCAGAATTAAGCTAACTGCTTTCAGTTAAATCATGCACCATACACTCATTTTTTTTCCCTCATTCTGAGTGGGATCCCTTTCTTTGGGCCCCCAACTACATCTCCAGGGAATCCACTGTCATGACTGAGCCAAGAAAATGGTGTTTTAGTACATGAAGGAGTGCTAGAAAAGAAAAACAGGATTTGAAAGTGTCATCTGTTGTATTCCCTCCCTTCCATACAATGAACCAGAAGATATTTCTGTTATGCCATGTGATTAAAATACCATTACGCTCTCCCAGTGATTAGGTGGTGGCACATTTGATTTGGGATCACAACTTCACAAGCCTCTGTAATAGTGTAAGGCGGCAAACAAACTTCCCTTTTGTGAAGATGTGCTTCAGCTTATTAAGTGTGTCAAAACACTGTCTCCAGAAAAGTGTGTATTTTAAATGAGCTGTAATAATGTCCTTTAGGACATTTGTGAGGGCACAAAGATGCACCTATAGTAATCTTCTCACCAGAAACAAGCCCCATTTTGAACTCTAGCCTTGTTTTCTCCTCATCCAAAGCAACCCACAGAGAAAACGGATGTACTTGGTCCCCTGGGGCTGACCCAGCGCTTCTCACCTGGCCCCTTTTGCTCCAACAGTGCAAGGTGATCATCTGCCAGATGAGCGGCACCCGGCCGGAGCTTTTCCACTGGTTCCTGTTCCCGCTGGCGCTGGTGGTGTATGCAGCCATCTCCGGGCTGCTGGGCTGGATGGAAGAAGCTGTTCTTGCTGTGTTCACCGTCCTGGTCACAGCCGCCCACGTGCACTACGGGGTCTGCGTGGTGAGTGAGTGCTTCCAAAGCAGCCACGGAAGAGCTGCCCCGGGGCAGGCAGGAAGATGGGAGTTGGGAACGGTTTCTAGTTGGGGCAGGGTCTGGGAGTCTGAAAGTTCAATTAGGGGGTTATTTTTGGGGTTTTTTTGTTTATTTAGTCTAAAGTTAAAAAAAACCCCTCAGTTTATTACAGGCAGTGCCTTTTTGCAACAACTTCAGTGACTTGAATTGTTCCAGTCTACCAAAGAGGTTTTGGCTTTAAACCCATCACAATCAGAATATTTATGGACTGGGTTTATGTAGCAGCTGACCCATGTGGCATGAACACTCCCACCCCTTTTTTTGGCCTTTCTTCTTCCTGAGGTTACCTGACTGAAAAACTAGAAAGGTAAAATGCAAAGTGCTATGAATAGAATTAATAAAATAAGGCCAACTTTGCTTTGAATATGCTGGCAAAATAGCCAGTCTTCCAGTTCATTCAGTCTTACCAGTGCATTTTTGTGTCTGCTAGATCTCAGACTGGTCATTTATTGTCATCTGAATTAATGCCCTCTTTTCTAAATTGTCAAATAATGTTTTAGCAAGTGTTTTCATGGGGATTTGCTTTTAGATAAAACACCTAGCATAGCAAAAATCTTGTTTCAGAGGGAGTTGTTCAGCATTCTTCAATTTAAGACACACCATTGGGATGTAAGGATTTTCTTTGAAAGAAGACTTGTCAACAGACATTGGTGTCATAGTAAAGTCTACGCCAGCATCAGTATGGGCCAAATGGTTGAGGGTCAGAATGGAAATACCTGGTCAAAGTTCACTATTGACTGAGAGGGCCCAGCTTCAGTTTATGTCATCTGTGAATCTGGTCTGTAGCAATTTAACTTCCCATCAGTGTGATGCAAGAGGAATGTAAGAACAGCTCTCTTGCTTGAATACTTGCAGGTCTCTGTGTGCTTGTAGGTCCCTAAGTACATGAGGACTGTGGTTGGGTCCTCCCCCCTCTGCCTGGGAAAGGAGAGGCAGTGAATTGTGAAGCACGTACAAAACAGGCTGCTAATCTCCATAATTTCTCTTTAGGGTAGGCAGCTGAGTGAGCACTTGAACATTTACATCTTTTCCCTGAAGAAACGCGCCCAAGAGTGAACACCTGCGCTATGATCAGACTGTAACACTGACGTGGAGATCTGCAACTCTTCTGATGTGACAAACAGTTGGAATTAATCTGATTAAAATAACCAAAGAATAGAATAGTACAGATATCTGAACCACTGCGACAATGAGCTATGCAGCAAGATGCTTCATCTCAGAGGAAGATTCCTGTCCAGCAGAGAAGTGTTTACCAAGTTGTTCTGCTGCTAACATTTATACTCTTCTAATGCAAATGCTGTGTTACTGGCCTCTCTGAAGCTTTGGTCTTCCTCCTCCTTGCCATTTTGTCCAAAGTCCTGGAGAAATTCAAGCTGGGTTACATAAGCTTCTTGGTGGTTTATAACCAGCACTGGTTTTGAACAGCCTAGCCACCAGTGGGACTCCAGCAGTGCAAACACTCCGCTGTATGTCCTTCTCACTCAGACATCTGTGCCTGCTTCATTTTCCATATTTATTTTCTCACAACTCATTCCTTCCATACAACCTCCTGAAAGGTTTATGCACACTCAGTCTTTTCCTCACCTCAAATGAATGTGTGAAGACAAAAGAATGAGCTGAGAAAGCTATGGGTACAGTAAAGTGTTTTTGAAATGTTCGGGTTTTTTTCTCATTCTCAGCATTAAGATGAGTCTCAGCTGACCTGTATCTGTCAGAAATGCAGGCTCTGTACAGCAACAGTTGACCTTTTGTATTTATTTTCTAGGCAGTAACAAGCACAAGTTGTTGGTATTTCAGTAGCAATGAGCAATATACTCTACAAAGGTAACCAGCAGAAAATAAATTTGGCCAGCAGACCTTCAAAGATTCACACATTTCACTGCAAAACTAGTTTAAGTCAAACATCGTGTATGAGTGCAAAATGCAAAACCATTATTTGCCTGTGTGCTTGAAGCGAATTCTTGTGGGGTTAGAAAATGACAAAAGAAAAAGAAACAAGAAGAGCCTTTTTTTTTTTTTTTTTTTCCCAACATTACACATTTGCATGCAGATGTAAACTGCTCACTTCATCTCTAATACACGTAGGTTTTCTGCATGCCTTGGAGGAAGGAGTAAGAATTTGAGTTTCATCCCTTTTCATACGCTGCCCTAGCCAGAGGGACTTTGTGGTCTTGAAGCATTAATGAAACAATCTGTCCACTTCCCCAAGGTAAGCATGAGATTACATTTCTTGCACAGAGGGATGGGATGGACAGACTGGCACATTCATTAACTATTTCACTTGCCAGAAGCCAGGCAAAAGCACAATTGTTGTACCTGGCAGCCGTTCCTGCAGGTACCAGGGGACAGGCCTGCACATCAGCTTCTCCTCATCACAAAGCAGAAATCCACACTAACTGGGAAGGTTTCTGGTGGTCTGAAAGTACACACGTTCCTTCCACCTACACAACGAGCATGTTGAGGGTCCCACCCCCCAAATGAACATGAGACTACAGTCACAGTTCAAGCAGCTTAAGGTCTGAGTTAGGCAGAGGGGTGCGGTCATCCTGTTAATGCTGAGTCAGAGGTTTTTCCAAGAGCCCTGCATCTTCCAGCCTTCCTTCCCAATGGTGTGGTAGACATGCCCCTATCCTGCATGATGCCCAGGGAGTGTGGGGTGTCCACCAAGGCACTCTCTAAGGACTCTCAGAATTAAGTTTATTTGATGAGGTTTGCTAAAAAAGGCAGTTTGTGTTGAAGGGGAATGACAAGTTTGATGATATTGCATGCACCCAGCAGTTCTCGATGTTTGATGAAGGTAAATACTACATCCAATACCAGAAACACTGCCCTAAAAGTCTCACCTACTTTATAAAGGCAGTTTATATTTCACCCTTCCATCACAAGTGTCTGGAGGAAGTTCTGACGAGAAAAGAATTAGAATACAATAAACAAAATTACCTCCAAATTGGTTGTACTGGAGAAACTCTGTGGACAGGCTTCCCTTTTCTGTCTGTCTTGCACTTAATTAGGAAACAGCTGGAAATAAGGGTCACAGAAGCAGCACAATTTGATGCACTGTAATGGAGTATTTTGAAATATTCATTAAATGAAATTATAAAAGTTGAACTACCACAACCTGGCTGCACTTGTACCTTTCTAAAGAGAAATACAGCGTCAGTTTTAAAAGACATTAAGCTCTGGACAGCCTTTTCACCTTCTATATGAAAACATGGCAAATAATTATTTTTTTCATTTTTAAAGCAACTTGTCACTACAGTCTCTATAAAGACAAGTATAAAAAGAAATCATGTATTGCACAGTGTATATATTGAGTTTTTAGCCATCCTAGATGGTAACTGGTTCAATGAACAGGAATTAAAATGCTTTGCACACAGGGTGGTACGGTCACAGATTTATTTTGCCAAGTCAGATAACTATTTTTTTTGTTGTTGTTGCAACATTATAGCAGAAAGTTTTCAACTATTTGAACTGGAAAACAGGTACTTTTTTTATGCTTTTGAACATTTGCACTAGCCCAAAGACATGCCTCCCCACCAAGTCTTACAAAAAGCATCTCAAAAAGAGCATCTCTCCCAAGTTTGAACGCCTAGGTTGAAAATGGGCTCCTCCAGTCCCTGCTTCGTCCTACCCCCTCTATTAGAAACCTTCCCTGAGTGGAGCTAAGCAAAGGTTTGGCCTCAGCTCCAGGGACACCTGATAGCAGCGGGGCCCAGGCTGGTGGCACACAACCACGGCACAAAGGGGCCCTGAGCCAAGGCTCGAAGCCTTGGAGATCGAGCAGCAACTACTGCGGCAACATTGCTTGTGCTACAGAAGATCAGAGCAGTGAGAACTATTCCCCCCTTTTATTCCCAAAAGCCTAATACTTTAATCTGAAACGCAGGCAGCTTTTAGGTACTGCACTGAAGATTCATCCCTGAATACTTGGCCACTGCAGGAAAGTCCACTGGGAGTTTCAGTGCCCTTACTGTAGTACTCTCTTCGCCTCCTGGCTGCTGCCAGTTTTGCTGTTGTATCAAAACTGATACACAAGAGATCTAGTACTCTGAAATCCAAAAGCAGTTACCATAAAGAAGAATGTGCTGTTTACATGCACAGGCATACATGCATTTTCTTTTTTTGATTTGTAGAAGGCGATACAGTTGCTGAGCTCTTGGGGAAACAGATGCTACTCGCACACAGAGGATAAGTGAACTTTTGTTTTTTTTAAAGCAGCTGCCTTTTTCATCCTGCTCCCATATGCAGTCCCTGATGAATCAAAAATATGTATTTTATCCAGAGAAGTATTATTTTAGAATGTTCTGAATAGTCTCTAGAGCTAGACAGATTTTAACATATATTTTTTTATTAAATATGTAAAAAGATAAACGCAAGTCAAGTTATTCACATATTCAGACAAAAATCTACTCTATCATGCGACAATTTGTGGATAATGTAAAATGACTGATACATCTGAATAAGACTTTTTTTGTATCTATTATGCCATTACTTATCTATTTATAATTAACAATACATATGTTTACATTCCTTTCAGTTTACATTTAATATATAACCAAAGCTTTATGGTGTGCTATTTAGTAAAGGTAATTACAAATGCATATTAAAACCATAATAGAAGAATGGGTTACTCACAGGGGGTGGGGGGAGAAGGACAACTCTTTCCCCTTTCAGAACACTGCTCTCCCCTCAGCACAGCCAAATTTCTAGTGCCCCCAAGGTATTTCACTGCCCCTACATCAGTCACTCCCCCCTTGATACAAGCAGTGAGAGGGCTATGGTCCTCAGATAAGAAACAGGATACGAGGAATTTTCAGGAAATTAAGTGCAGCTTTTTTAATTTTTTTTTTTTTTTAAATACGTGCTTCAAAAGAGAGAAAAGGAGACAGGCATAACAGCCTGGCTATGAATCGTCCGGGGAGCTCAGCAACCCCAACCATTTGCATCTTTAGAAAAATGTTTTCCTGTGAAGTGCTCCATGCATCTGCTCAAGTATCAGCAGAAGGATGAATGGCAGTAAGCAGAGACAGATGCTGATGAAATTAAGTTTATAGCCTGATCCCAAACTCCTTGCCCCATCAGAGATCCCATACAGGTTAGAGGACATTCTGGAATCTGGAAAAAAAATTAGTAACTGCTCTTCAACAGTATTATGAAGAACTACCATTTATTACAATGACAATTGTAATAAGTACATATGTTCTAATAAACACAAATACAACAAAAATGACAATTCCCCCATTTGTGGTGATTCTTGGAAATACTTATTTTGGAATATACACATTTTTTAAATAATTAAACCAGACCTTATTTTCAACCAATTGAAACGGGAGAGGAAAGTGCTGGCCTGCAGGTTGCAGTGCTTTGACTTCATCACCGAGTAGGATGTGAGGTCAATACTGGATGCAGAGTTGGCAAAACTTCAGCCTGCAGGGTCCAGAAACTCTTCTGCTGTGCAGGGGGAGGATCAAGGAACTGGAAATACCTGTTCTCGTGCTTAACAGTATTTTATACATTGTCGGTGGTTTGCAACACAACAGCAGGGTTCTCACATTTAACTAACAGCCACTTAGCTGCAAAAGATTGATTAGGAATGGAAAACTGCATGTGTCATGCGTGTGTGTGCCCGGGGGTTGATTAATTGAAAACCTTTCCATGGAAGCATAAGCTTTAGGAGCCTATGAATGTCTAAAATGATTTAGCTGTTCAGTAGGCTTTGGAGTTTTTCAGTGAATGCTGACTGGGACGGGATTTGCACATACCTGCTAAATCAGCCTAGCAATCCCCAGTTCAGAAGATCAAGTGAGAAACCAAGAATATCAAGCATTACATAATCAGACTACAACGCACAGTTTTATGAGAAGAACAAGGAATGCTTTATATACTTCAAGATACCGCTGTTTATAAAATACCATCATTTAGAACACGGTCATGGGACCACACTGGAAGGGAACACTCTCACTGCAGACAACTCCAAGGCCTTGATGAAGGAAGGGCAGTCCAGAGCAGAAGCTGCTCTGTCCCCTCAAGTCAGATGGTCCCCCTCTTATGTGTGCCCTTGTCTCCAGGACTCCTCACTGCCTCTCCATGCTTTGGAAGCAGCCTCAAACCCGTGAGGTGTCCATCACTCACTCACATAAGATCTGGGGTGGGGTTCAGGGCTAGTGCTTTTGCTGGTTTTTCCCCATACTTTGCACTAGTGAGAAAATTTCTGTTTTCCATGCTTTTATGGATGGGGCAGTGGAGGGGAGAAAGAAAGCAAAAAGAAATGGCTGGCCTACTTTGTCCTTTTCTGAGGGGTGGGAAGCCAAAGACGATGGCAGAAATCGTGTCCTGCAGCTACACTTGTGTCAAGGAGATTTCTCTCCTCCATCAGCACTGAGTTCTGTGGAGGCAGAGCTGCAGCTGGAGGCTGGGACTGGATTCCTCAGGGAGGAAGAAAAGCTGGGAAATGTCTGTTTACTAGTCAGGAAACTGGGAGAGTTTTCAAAAAACTTAAATGGATGCCTGTTCCTCCAGAAATAAGCCAAAAAACATACCATGCAGCTTTCTAAGAAGCTTTCTAACATAGGGGTTTAAATCTCCCACTGAAACAGATGCTCTGCCTATGAAGGCAGGGAAGGAATAAACGTGAGCAACATGAGCATTTTCTTCCACAACACACCTCATCGTTATGGCTTGAGTATGACATCCACTGTATCCCTTTATTCCAACTGTTTGACCAAATTCACGCCCCAAGGCAGATGTACTAGAAAACGCGAAAGCACCACAAAGTGAGAAACACAGCTAGTGGTACGGAACTCCTCGCCACACAAAATGCCAATATAAATATGTTAGAACAAGTTACGAGTGTATCATACTTAAGACAAAAAAAGAAAAAAAATAAATATATATATTTTTAAAGAGCAGAACAAATCTCAAGCAGCCAAGTGGTGAAGTTGCAGTGATGTACAGTAGGTGATGTAGCCCTACAACCTCTCGGGAAGATACACTGAAAGAGGACGTCTGCAAATGCATCTTGGCAAAGTATTGGTACAGAATGCAGTGGTTGGCTGGCACTCACTATGGTACATAAATGTTAATGGCAGACCGGGAGTGAACTGATTTCAAGTTTGAGGCCGCACATGTTCCATTCTCCAGAAGAAAGTTCTAACACAAAATGAAAATTGTCAGAGATGCTGCGTGAGTCAGTACTCATCCTGCTGCTGGGGCTGTTCATGGACTTGCTCTTCACCTTCATGATCATCTGTGTGGCTCTCCTGTAGGGAGAAAAAGACCCCAGAACATTCTTCAGCAGAAAGCACTCC